AAAAATTTGAACAACCATCTAGTATTGATGCCTAGCTGTGTCCATATCTCCGGAAATGACTTTGCAAATAAATTACCAAAATTGTCTTTTTCATCTCAGCTGCACCTTACCTTATAATTTTAACTGTCCCGATATAAAACATTTCATTAATAGTCACATATATCAAGAGGTCAATAATTGTTATGAGAGAAAACATTACCTTGGTACAGTTAAGTAAAACATAAAATACTTTCCCTTAGCCATAATTTAGCGAGCACTTAAGTTGAATGACGTCACATTTCCAAAATAGTGAGGCGCACTTGCGCGCTTTTGCGCACCCAGCGTAGTTGGTGTTGAATTCTCTGGTGTCACTGTTTCTTTCTTCTTCTTCTTCAAATTTTTTTCATCCATTGCTTTGATAATTAGAAAACTGAAGTCATTAATACCACTATAAGGACTGAATTAATTATCGGAATGTTCTGAAGTTTTGACAGGTATCGTTTAAAGGCTTGGTTCATTCGGAAAGCGCAACAGTGTTGTTATAAATTTGTCAGACCGAAGATTTATTGATTGATGTGTTAATTGTTGCTTTGACTTTTGTGCCGTGATAAGTGAGGGACACCTGTGCGTAATCTGTAAGATGTTCAAAAGTCTTGTAGCTAGCTATAGGCTCCTCTTTTTCTTTTATCTTACAATTTGAAGTGCATAAGTTAATTGTTAAAGCAGGTAAAGAAATAATTAAGTAAATGACCCACTTAGTGCGCATTAGGAAAAGATGGAGATATGATTACTTTCTAGCGTATGCAAGCAAAGCCTTCATGTAATGCGTGTACCTTTGATCAGTCTAACGCTCCTTTCGCCTCTCCTTTCAACTTGTTGCATGGTTTTGGAACGAAGACTTGTCTGAAGCTGAAACTGAAATATATTCTTTGAAAGCGAACGCTATCTTTTGAAGAAGAAACGCCAAACACACAATAGTTAAAAGTCGATATCAGACGAAAAAAATTCGAATGAAACGGAAATTTTCGCTTTTGTATAATGTAATCGTTAAACAAGCAATGATTTATGGCAGTAATAAAGGTTGGGAAATTTATTTGGAATTATTATTCACCTTTCCGAAGAGTCGAAGATGTATAGCGTTTCTATCCGTCTGCTGGAGCTCATGAAAATCGTATTCATTTTGTTTAAACATTCGATGTATTCGATGATTTTCTTCTTCTTGACTATTTATAAAGAAAACAAAAACGTAAAAAAAAAAAAAATTTGAGAACAGAAAATTTTTGTTTAAAATCATTAAGTTTGCGTTGCATGTATGTATTCATAAATTTATAAAGCAATTTTTTATTTGTTAACGAACTAAAATAAGATTAATGACTGCCTTGCCAACGCATTTTTCATTTGTTTTTTTTTAAAAGCCATAGAAAACGGGGGCGAAAATGTTTGTGCATATATGTCAGAGAATTATGAAATCGTACATGCTTAACTTATGGAAATCAACTGTGTATACATGGGGCAATATTGTAAATTTTACGTTTACAATTAAAGCTAAAGTGTTTTGGAAATTTTTTTCAAATTTTTTTTAATTGTTTAATTAAGAAGAAGAAGAAGAAGAAGTAGTCGTTTTATTTAACTTACCATATTTATTAATTTTTTTAAAAAATCTTTGACAACATTTTTGAAAGTACTTTAGATATTAGGTTTTTATTTTCTTCATATAGTTTCTTTGTTGTCTTCAACCGGTTCCCTCTTTCGTGGGAACAGCAATAAGCAGTCATAGTCTAAGTTGTAGATTAATTGTTCCAACTTTTTGCTGTAAGAACTTAGTTGTTGTATCATTTCTGCAGATCATATGTTATTATTATATTTATAGGGCGTCCAACACGCGTTCAAATCAGCGCGCGGACTCTTTTGAAGCTATGAAAAGCAAACATACCTAACAATACTAACTCAACTATCAATGTCACTTGATTGTCGTCTCTTTACACGTTCCATTGGTAATTCAACTATCAACGGCACTTGATTGTCCTTTTTCCATGCAGCTTCAACGTTCTCCTCGGCCCACGAAATTCATTAGTAAGAATTCTTTCCGACAATGATTTATTATCGCCTGATGTCATTCAACATTGCCAGGAATACGATTAATTCCATTTTCACATTCTCAAGTTTGTTTTCAAAAAGTCTTGCGAATGATTTTTCCTTAAAAATGCCTAACTTTTTGAAAATGTAAAAATTTTAATGCCTATAAAAATTAAATAAACTCTGAATTTTTCAGAGTGATTATTGGTTTTATTATTTATTGTTTGTTTTTTTAGCAAGTTTTTCAACAAAAAAAAAAAAAAAACCTTGAAAACGTTTTAATTACAGCGTTCTAGTCTAGTAAATACAACCGGATATCTGTTATGGCTTTGGGTTGACAGTGAATTTTATTAACGGCTAAGATTGCATGTCCTTGAAAGAGCTTAAGCAAGTAAGCGAAATATCTTTGCTGGTAAACTTGATAAATTCTTTAAAATGATGAGAAGGTCATGTTCACCAAATCTTAAAAAGCTTCTCTTTGTAGAGGCCCTGAAGCGATTAAAGCTTATGAACATTCGCTGAGATTCAGTTTAAGTTAAGCAAAGAACGATAGACATTATGCAAATATGTAGGGAGAAGAGAAGGATCACCTGAATCGACCTAATAAGAGAATGCGGAAATGAATTTTTGCTCTACTGTCTAAGGTATTTACTAAGAGCTTACAAAGTCGTCAAAATTACAGTTCATTTGATGATTTCTTCAATTTTTTGTCGCTATACCTTATTACTATATTATTGTTTGAAGGTCACCTTCAATCGTTTTCAGTAAACGAATATAAATCAAATAAAAATTCTCTGCACTCTTTGTATTTAGAACGAATACTCTGTTGTTGTAACGTCGCAGAGGAAGTGAATTTTTCCAAGTATGATGTCAATAATTTTTCCTTTTTTCCCGCATAAAAAATCATAGCATGTCGTAAAAAAAACTAAAGCTTTTAAAAAGTAATTTTTTCGGCATCACCATAAATCTGTCATGTACATACATACATATACCTTTACATATTGATATTATCGGTGGAAAAACAATAACAAATGCGAAGGTTGTGTCCATTTTATGCCTTACATTGTACACATATGATCTCAGCAAGAAAAACGGGACACTTTTTGCGGCACTGAATATTAGCATAGTTTTAATTTTACGTAGTTTATGATTTTTTCGTATTTGATCTTAATGAGCCACCAGAGGTCTGATATTGAACTCTAGATAATAACTTTAATCGCCTTCTTTTTTGAATTGAAAAAATATCTGGTATAGATAAATAATTTATTTTATAATAGATGTATATGTGTATATAATATGCGTTATACCTACGGCATTCAGTTGCTAGATGGAAAAAAGATCTGTTAATGAACGATATGACGTACAATATATGATAACTGAAAATGATATTTGTGTGCTTTCCATTTGGATTTACAAGAGTTTTGAACTTACATTCAGAAAATTGATCGGTTGAAAATAAAAAACTTTAGATAAAGTTTATAAAGTTAACTACTACTCATACGCGATGGCCTATAGATATTGCAACAAGCTTCCATGCGAACTTGCTAACTTTGTTGCATAAGAACGAGTATTTCTAAGTTGGAAAATTGCTTTACAATGTTTTGGTGGAGAATTTCTGTTCAATTTCCGATTATTTTAATAACTCGTTAACAAGAAGTTTATAACCATCTGCACATATCGGATCTTAAGTAATGGAAAGCATTAAGTTGGTTGCGCAAGTAGTCCGTTTATGTTCTTTCGCTTATTCACTTTCTTTCACTAATTCTACAAACACAAATAGGGTAAGAAGACTCTCTTCTCTTAGAGTCGTCGCTACGTCAATTGAGTTCAAAAAAAGTGCTATGTGTCTTGTATACGAATCGCATTCTAATTGAATTCTAGTTTTAAATTATTTCCAATATCTTTAGATCTTTGAGGGAAAGCAGCAAGATGAGCAGATAATGCGTAAATCTTCACTCCTTACACTTTTTGCCCTCAAACCTATTTAACTGTCTGAACTTTTTTATCCTTAGCTTCATCTATTTCATATGCAGTTGAACTTGTGTGTCTGTTTGTGTCTCATTTAAACTTCTTTCAGAGTTTAAGTATTTGGTAAATTTTCGAAAAGACTTTTGCAGTTACTTAGAAAATCTCGCCAAATAATTTGTAAGAATTTTATTGTAAAAACAGATATCCACTCGCTGGTTGTTAAGCTAAATACCATATATTTTTTATAGCTATTACCGAAGGATAGATATATCATCTACCCGTTTGCCCCAAAATGAAGCTTCAGAGATCCTATAAAGTATATATATACACAATTTTTACCAATATCAAATCTGTCTGTCCGTCCGTCTGTCCTATTTTCAAAAGCAAATACTATCACGATACACGCATGCTCTGTGAACGGTGCTAGAGAACCTGTACAAAAGTAAAAAAGATCGCTTACGCCCATCCAAGTTTCAATTGAATGGATTTTTCAAAATACTTTTAGAACAAAGATAACGAATGGGCTTAAAAAATTCGGCAAAACCTGAATAAAATTTTCTAGTTTACTTGCTTTATGTTTACTTATTCCGGCTGATGGAAAGATTTATATATTTAGTATCTTGCAAAGTATATTCCAATACATAGATACACGAATAACACTAAAAGTATGTATCTTCTTAGATATACAACAATACACGCTCGCATAAATCTATGTATATATTTAAATCTGTATATGTATTTATGTTAACCTATTGTGTTCGTTAATATAATTAAACGTAGAAAATTTTGGAATTTTCATTTTCTTTGGATACATACATATATTTATCTATCCAAAGAAAAGGAAAATTCATAAAGAATTTTCTTCGAGTTTCGGAAGCATTTCAGTTGTAGCATTTCACTCGTTACGAACGGCGTCAAAGATCAATTTGAAATTTTTTCGAAATTTCTTAATAGAAAAAAACAAAAAAAAAAAAAAAAACACAAAAATATGTGCGTTAATTAAAAATTTATATATAATAAAACCGAAAATGTGTTTTAGTTGAAAAAAAAAAATTAAAATTTCTTAAAATTTTCTTTTTTACATATTTTTTTTTTTAGAAAATTCCTTAATCAAGATGAATGAAGCCAGAAGCTTATTTACTACTTTCTTAATCCTGGCATTTTTGCTATTCTTACTTTACACCTTCTACGAAGTCATGTTCTAATAAAATCGGATTTAGATTAATTGCTAAAGAAGAGAAAAAGAAAAAAAAAAAAAACAAGATAGAGCCGTTGCATACTGCTTCACATTTTTCTTAATAAAAATGAGCATCAAATTCCACTCATTATATTTTAATATTAAATTTAAGCAGCTAGCATCTATATATTAACGGTTAAGTCAAGGGGGTAAGTGATTAAAATTTTTCTACAGAGTTTTTTTTTTTTTAAATACAAGCCCACCCACGACTAGCTGCGGATCACCATTAAACATTCTACACCATCTTATAATTGTTCATATAACGACGTTTCAAAATAAGACAATTTGTGGAAGTGATCGAGAAAGTGGTACGAACGAAACCATTTTCAAAAGCCTTTGTCCTTGTCTAGGCTGGTGCTATGTTTCAGCAACTCCTTTTAATATTGAATAATGAAAATATTTTTCTGGACCCAAAACATCTCATTTACTTGTAAAATACAGAAACAAGGAGAATGTTACAATCGGCTTAGATTAGCATCCAGTTCCAACTGTCACGAAAAAAAAATTTCTAAATCGCGCTTTTATGCTTCTTGTTATTTCATTATCTATGTGACAATGCAGGCGAAGCGCTTTAAACGAAGAAAAATTTGGCGAAGCCCTAGATCCAGCACTAGCTTGCGTTAAAACGAGAATAGGTTACATCAGTTAAATCATTGCATAATGTTTGTCGAGTAGAAAAATATGTGGAAATGCGTATCGTGGTCGATTAGAACATAAAGCGAACATTTTATTGTTTCCACGAGAAGAAGGAGAAACCCTTTGCTCTTTCCATTTCTATGTGGACTATGTGTTGGCATCGTATTACGTACCAACTCCTGCGTAGGATTACAGTTGAAACTATTAAATGTTTTTGTGGTACAAGGGTATGTTAAGTTTGTGTCGGATGCATTTGATATCTAGAAGGACTTGATATCGACTCATCTTTTATCTGAGCGATTCGTTCAGATTCGCTTTATAAATCACTTTCTGGATCGAACTAGGATGGTCTGTCCTTAAGTTCGTCTTGCTGGTCACAATTTTTGAGATGCTTTTGCGAAATTTTAGTTCACTGTCATGTTTAGGTCAACGACGAATACTTTTGCGATAACCTATCAAATAATGTTTCATTGTGGGAAGTCGTTACATGAATATCTGTAGAGTGGTGTGGACTATTTAATGATGGACTGTGGCCCACTCAATGTTGCTTATTTCGAATACACAAATTATTGCTCTTCTTATTGAGATCACTTTTGCAAAATTTTACCAATGGATATTTGGAGTCATATATTTTTAAAACACAAAATGGCAATCAGATATATTCGAAGCCTTATGCCTTATGTTCGTTTCATTTAGAATTGGGTCTTAGTAGCGAATATAGTTTGAGGGTAACTATCGTTTTCTGAGCGAAATTTTTGATCAAAGCTATTAAAGCTCTGCTCTACAAGCTATGCTTTTAGGTTTCTACTGCTTTTTAGGGTTTCCGATATCTACTTGCTATCAATAAATATTACAAGCTAATATTCGGTCCGCATTGCTCGTAATTCCTTTATAATTATTTTTAATCTATGAAACATTTACGCTCTTCTTCCGAAGTTAAGTACACAAAAAAAGGACTTCATTATAACTTATTTGGATCACCAAAATCAATTCTAGGATTAAATGTACAAACTGCCAACAAAGACTCGCTTCTCGATGTTCTTTTTTATTCTAATAGCTAGCGCAGATCATTCGTTAAACGGATAGTCTGAAAAGTGAATTATAACTAATACACATAAACATATTTTATGTTCATAT